GTCATGATCCCAGGGTCCTGGGATGGAGCCCCGCCTCAGGATCCCATTCACAGGCATATTCAACAAAAGCTAGCCTGTTCCGGAGAGCACATCCTCATCTCATACAGCATTGGTAGAATTTGGGAACAACAATTAGACCCTTGGGAGATGTGTAGAAAATAAAACGCAGGAGTGTTTAGGCAAGAAAACAGGAAACAGTCTGTGAGAGACAATGCCATAAAAACCAAAGATCTCATAATCCGATACATTGGTTTTCCAACTGTTTTTTTAATATTTTATTTATTTGACAGAGAGCAAGTGCACGAACACAAGCAGGGGGAGTGGGAGAGGGAGAAGCAGGCTTCACGCCGAGCAGCGAGCCCAGTGTGGGGCTCAATCCCAGGATCCCAGGATCATGACCTGAGCCAAAGGCAAACATTTAACGACTGAGCCACCCAGGCGCCCCCCAACTGTTTTTTAATATGTAGAGTCCTATCTTCAGAAAGTGTTTTACAGGGGCACCTGGCTGGCTCAGTCGGTTAAGTGTCTGCCTTCAGCTCAGGTCATGATCCCAGGGTTCTGGGATCGAGTCTCACATTGGGCTCTTTGCTCAGCTGGGAGCTTGCTTCTCCCTCTCCTGTTCTCCCTGCTTGTGCACTCTCTTTCTGTCAAATAAAATCAGGAAATCCATTTATTTAAGTATTTATTGATTTGTAATTCTGTAGATAGGTTCTACCATTGTGCTAATTTTATACGTGACTAAAAAGAGATACAAAGAGATTAATAACATCAAAAGTCAGGTGGCCTGACACCACAATCTACCATCTTAACCTAAGCTGTGAGTACGGAGCTGCCCAGTTTGAAGGATGGGTCCTTGGTATCACCTGGCACCTCACAGAACTCTGCAGGGCTCTCTACAGTTTGTACACATGGACCTGATCTGGTCCACTTATTTTACAGTTAGGGAATATGAGTCCAAAGAGAAGTGATTTGCCCACAGTCGTGCAAGTCAGTAAGGCATAATAAGCCTAAACAGGCTGTCATAGCACAACATTTCATAGCATCTCTAAAGATAAAGAGCTTAGAGCATGGTCGTGTTTGGTATCAGGCCACCTTCACCATAAGAGGCAGGTGCTGCCTCATTTGCCCCAGGACTTTAAATAGAGCTTACACGGCCTGAGTTCACATCGGGAGCTGTTGGTGGGGCTGGGCCCACTCCCTGGCTCCCTCAGCACACTGAACTCCACAGATAGCAGTTCTCAAGGTAATATATACTACATGTTTTTTAGAAAATAATGAAATGTTAGCGTTGGCTTTGTGTGTTTTTAGGGATTTTTGTACGGTGTCGATATTGGCCCCCCAAAAGAGAAATCACCTAAATTAGAAATGAGATGTCTAAGGACTTGATCATTAATTCATTCTAAAGCCCAGTGTCCCAGGGAGCAACCTCCTTTGATAGCAGGTGTTTAATAAAACCAGACCTGTGAAGGTTTTCTCTAGTAGCATCTTCCCCAACTTTCCTCCCATCATCCCAGATCAACTGAGGTAGTCATTATTTCTGCAGAACACAGCTTCCCAGGGGCTTCACTGAAACCGCTCAAGCTCACAAAATGGCCAGGGGAACGTGTCATTACAAATCAGTACGGACCTTCAGCAGCCATCTCTAACACAGGAACACTCTTCCCCCAAGACCATGTGTCAAATTAAGTGAATTAAAAGGACACATCAAGCCCAGTTTTCTCCTATGGTATTTAACATGTAAAGTACTATCTCCTAAAGCCTGTAGGGTTTTTTTTTGCCTTGGTGGTGTTCTTCCCTTTCTTGAGCTGGTGGAGGAGAGCTAAAGAGCTTGATCTATAGATGATCATTACAGATTGTTTACCTCTCACTTGAAGAAAACCCTTTGGATATCTTAAGAGTTAAACTCTACCTCAGCTATATCATATCTGCAACAGAAGTGGGCTGAGCATCCGACATTCTAAGTGCAGGCCACGCTGTCTGGAGAGTGGACAAGCCCTGGGCACATTCTAGATGCTCAATAAATTCTTGATGATTGACTGCATAGGATAACTGAGCGGATAAGGTAAATGGCTAAACCCACTGATCCATAACTTATTTTTACCTTCAATCGCTCTCAGTTCAGGCTCAAAGACTTCTAACAACTTCTCTATGCTGTTTTCCAGAGAGATGGTTGCCCAAAGATTGTCAATTTGGGGAGCTCTAAGACCGATCTCTTCTATGAACGCAAAAAGTACGGCTTCAAGAAGAGGTGATTGGCGGGTGGCCTCCTCCTCCCTCCCAGTGCAGCAGCTGCCAGAAAAGATGCCTACCACCAGCAGCGCAGAGGGAGTAGGCACAGGGCACCGCCCGAGTGCCTGTTAGTACACGGGCCCCTCTCCTCCCTGCCTCTCCTCTTACCCGGAAAAGAAATCTTTCACAGAACACTCTGGCACACCGTAGCAGAGGAAAATAGATAGACTGGTTCATGATTTTTCTTGAATTCAAGAAACAAGCATGTTTTCCAAATTGCTATGCTCTCTCTACACCAAGAGCTTCTGAAACAGCAATACTATCATCTCAGTCTTCTGTTTGAGGAATTGACTGTGAAGCTACTGCAGTGAGAAACCTGTTTTTGGCAGCTGTCCTTGATGAGACATCTGCAGTGGGGTGGGGGGCTCTCCGAACAGTCAGCGTGGGCATTGGATCTTGTAACACTTAGCCGGTGGTGCCTATTCATGTTATTTTTCTTCTAAGAACTTGGAATCCCTTTCTGTTGCTGTTGTATTAATAAAGCAGGTGTTTCTTTTCTGGTACTCGGTCACAGTCCCAATTTAAGTTTGACTCTAGGAATTTATTTTAGTCACCCAGGAATTTGTGATTCAGAATAGGCGTATTGGGATTCATCAAGCACCTTCTTCTCTTATTATTGCTGGAAGGAATTCTAAACCATTGATGCCTTTCGTTACAGATAAATCAAGGTTGTTTTTAGAAACTTACTATTTTTTCTTCCTGTTCAACTTTTTTTTTTTTAAGATTTTATTTATTTATTTGACAGCGAGAATAGGAACACAAGCAGGGGGTGTGGGAGAGGGAGAAGCAGGCCTCCCGCTGGGCAGGGAGCCCGACGTGGGGCTCAATCCCAGCACCCTGGGATCATGACCTGAGCCGAAGGCAGACGCCCAACGACCGAGCCACCGAGGCTCCCCTCTTCCTGTTCAACTTTAATTTGAACTGAAGAAATGACTTCCAACCATGGTCACAGGGATGAGACAAAATGTGTTCAAACTGATGAGTTCAGAGAACGGAACTTGGTTGATTCGTTTCACAAAGTGGACATAAATACATTGAGTATATGTTCCCTTTTTTTATTATTTTTAAGTAAATACACAGAATAAGGGCAAATGCAGACGTATCCTTTACCCTAACGCAACTATTTACTTTTTCCCTGCTAGAGGTGATCAACAGGTTATCCTAAATAATCATAATTTGAGACTTTAGTCAAGTGGTCTTTGACACCATAGATTTGAAGCAGGTTTTGAGTCCTTAGGAATACAGAGGCTTGGCCCAAGTTACACTGAAATTTAGCAGCAAAGACAAGGAACAAAGATAGTCTTCTGACTACTTATCAGAGCTTTGGTTTGGATCAACAGAACGCTTGATTAATTGGGATATATTGAGGGTCAAAAATTGAATTAAAATACAATCTCTGCCTTCAAGAAATGGAATAATGAAGGCAGCCAGAAACAGTTTAGAATAACCCAGGGAGGATGCACAAAGGAGGTTCTTGGCCTAGGTTGGGGGCACCTCAGGAAGGCCAGTGGAAGGTCATAGCCACAGGGGTAATGATAATCCTTAAAGCTTTCCTGTCTCATCTCCTACCACTCTTCACACTCTAGCCACTGGGGCTCATTTCAGTTCCTCAACTGCTGGTTTCCTTCCTGCTCAGTGCTTTTTACCTATTAAGCTCTCTCTAATGCTCGGTCCCCCTTTTGTCCAGCTGTTACACATCCTTCAGACCTTAGATAATATTGCCTCAAACGATGCCTCTCCTGACCCCCAATCTACGTTCATTCCTCTTGTTGGAATCCCACATAGCACCATAGCATTTTGTTGATAGTGTTTGGTGATTATTGACAGCCCTCCATTAGGCTGGCTCCATGGTGGCAGTAACCAAGTCTGTTTGGCCCAGCAGGTAGCAGCTCCTCAGTATTAAATGAATAATTGAAGTCAAGGTGGATAATAAACTGGGCTTTGAAGGATATATTGGAATCTACGGGCAAAGGGGTGGGTTGGGCAGATAACGACATATGTGTGGGGGAAGCAATCTGAATGGGCAATGTGTTTGGGGAGCTCTCTGAGCAATTCTAAAGTGTGGGTCAGGGGGATTATGGTGTGTCAAAATTGTAGAGACCAAGTAATTTTCAGATTAGAATTTGTCACTGATCCTATAGTAATTTTAGTTTTAATGTGTACTGTAAGTCAAAATGTTTTGTCTGGATAAAGACAAATCAACTTTTAAAATTTGCTTATTAACCACCCTGGTCCACATAACATCTTGCATTTACAAACATCAAAAGCTACTCCTTAGGGGTGCCTGGGTGGCTCAGTCGTTGGGCGTCTGCCTTCGGCTCAGGTCATGGTCCTGGGGTCCTGGGATCAAGCCCCTCATCGGGCTCCCTGCTCAGCTGGAGGCCTGCTTCTCCCTCTCCCACTTCCCCTGCTTGTGTTCCCTCTCTGTGAAAATAAATAAATCTTTTTAAAAATTAAAAAAAAATTAAAGCTACTCCTTAGTTTCAGCAAAACACCACTTTAACTGTGCTCCATCAGACTTAGCGAGCGTACCTCTGAAGGGTATTGCAACCGAGTTTAAGATGAATGCCCAGATGATTTCAAGGGCATACCCCACCCCCATGCTCCATTGCTGAATGGAGCAAGTTCAACCTCAACCCAGTGAAGTCTGCTGAACTCTGCTCCTCTCACCTAGTTTCATAATCCAGTTGTTGGTTTGTTTCTTTTCCAAGGCCAAGAGAACAATACAACTAATGAGTTAAGAACACCTGTGATAGGGGCGCCTGGGTGGCTCAGTCGTTAAGCGTCTGCCTTCGGCTCAGGTCATGATCCCAGCATCCTGGGATCGAGCCCCGCGTCCTGGGATCGAGCCCCGCATCAGGCTCCCTGCTCCGCGGGAAGCCTGCTTCTCCCTCTCCCACTCCCCCTGCTTGTGTTCCTTCTCTCCCTGTGTCTCTCTCTGTCAAATAAATAAATAAAATCTTAAAAAAAAAAAAAAAGAACACCTGTGATAAAGTGAATGGTCTTGAAGTTCACGCTTGATCTTAGCCAAAAGGCCGAGAAGCGATTGGTCTTGAAGTTCAAATCCTTAATTGTCTATTTTGGAATTTCAAGTTCAGTCCTCTTCAATTTTAAAAATTAGGTTAATAATAGTACCAAATTCTCCGCTGTTGGGAAAACATAACTTACAAACTGAATTTTAACCTCTAACACTATACAATTCTGTGGCAAGAATTAGAAAATGATCTCAGCCAACTGTATATGTCTACAAAAAATCAGAATGGTCTTAAAAATTTTAAGTGTTGGGGCGCCTGGGTGGCTCAGTCGTTGGCTGTCTGCCTTCGGCTCAGGTCATGGTCCCAGGGTCCCAGGGTCCCGGGGTCCTGGGATCGAGCCCCACGTCGGGCTCCCTGCTCTGCGGGGAGCTTGCTTCTCCCTCTCCCACTCCCCCTGCTTGTGTTCCCTCTCTCGCTGTGTATCTCTCTGTCAAATAAATAAAATCTTTAAAAAAATTTTTTTAAGTGTTTTTCTCCATTGTTAAATAAGCATTACCTGGGGCGCTCAGTTGGTTAAGCATCAGAATCTTGATTTCAGCTCAGGTTATGATCTCAGGGTTGTGGGATCAAGCTTCATGCTGGGCATGGAACCTGCTTAAGATTCTCTCCCTCTGCTCCTCCCGCCTCTAAAAAAAAAGCACTACCTAAAAAATAAACAAGTATACCTACATAGGTCTAGTTGAAATAATTGAACTCATCATGATCAGCCTGAGAAAGTGGTGCCATTTCCTGGATTTATGGCATTATTATTATTTATTAAGTATTCAGTATTTGATATTGATTTCTAGGTTTTAAAAAGAATAGGTGTCTTCCAGTTTCTCAAATATACTGTACACACATAGTAATTTAATTTCCTTTTTTTTTTTTAAGATTTTATTTATTTATTTGACAGAGAGAGACACAGCGACAGAGGGAACACAAGCAGAGGGAGTGGGGGAGGGAGAAGCAGGCTTCCCGCAGAGCAGGGAGCCCGATGCGGGGCTCGATCCCAGGACTCCAGGATCATGAGCCGAAGGTAGACGCTTAACGACTGAGCCACCCAGGCGCCCCTTAATTTCCTTTAAACATTGCCCTCAGGATGCCTGGGTGGTTCAGGAGGTTAAGCGTCTGCCTTCGGCTCAAGTCATGATCCCAGGGTCCTGGGATCGAGTCCCGCATCGGGCTCCCTGCAGAGTGGGGAGTCTACTTCTACCTCTGCTTCTCCTCCTCCCCCTGCTTTTGCTCTCTTGCTCGTTCTCTCTCTGTCAAATAAATAAATAAAAATCTTAAAAAAAAAAATTAGTTAATTAAAAAAAAATTTTTTTTTTAAGATTTTATTTATTTATTTATTTGAGAGAGAGACACGGCGAGAGAAGGAACACAAGCGGGGGGAGTGGGAGAGGGAGAAGCAGGCCGCCATCAGACTCCCTACTCAGCTGCTCCCCCTGCTTGTGCTGTCAAATAAATAAATAAATAAATAAATAAATTTTTTAAATGTGTGAGCTTTATAATCAGACCTGTATTTGAATTCTGCTCTGCTGTTGACCTTTAGTGAGTCATTTAGCCTTTCTTTGTTTCTTTTTTCTTATCTATTAAATAAGGATAGGGGCACCTGGGTGGCTCAGTTGGTTGGGCATCTGCCTTCTGCTCCGGTCATGATCTCAAGGTCCTGGGATAGAGCCCCGTGTTGGGCTCTCTGCTCAGCGGGGAGTCTGCTTCTCCCTCCCCTCTGTGCTTGCTTTCTCTCTCAAATAACTAAAATCTTAAAAAAAATTATAAGGATAACAAGGCTTACCTCTTCAGGTTGTAAGGATTAAATTTGACCTTGTAAGTTCCTTACCCTTATGAAGAAGTCTTTACATAAATAGTAGTTCTTTTACAGTGGGTTCCTGCTTTTTCATAGATAAACATTTAAGTCCTGGCATGGAAGGTCCTCGAAATGGTTCCCTCTTCATTTTTAAAATGTTAATGTGTCAGTATACACCAAGATAGTACATCCACCAGGTGTGGACCTTGACCTGCAAGTTAGCAGTTTCTAAATTAAGATTGGGGTGCCTGGGTGCGCCCGCGGTTGAGCGGCCCACTCTTGATTTCAGCTGAGGTCATGATCTTGGGGTTGTGAGATCGAGCCCCCCGCCCCGCCACTGGCTTCTGCACTAAGCTCAGAGCCTGCTTGGGATTCTCTCACTCCCTCTCCCTCGGCCCCTCCCCCCACCCCCACCCCTCTCTCTCCAATAAATAAATAAAATCTTTAAGATTAACCAGTTTGTTAACTATACTGGAAATAAAAACAAAAGAAAAAAGAAAATTAACTCCACGGGGAATCAAACTGAACTGACCAAATTTCAGAAAAACGATGTCACCCTATTCTGATCTGCAGCTCTTTAGTAGTAGTTTGAAGCTAGGCATAAAAGTGGAAGATTATTTGCCTTGGTTGAAATTTTCTTGCCTTGCAAAAAAGCACTCCAATTCCCATCTTTCCCCAGTTATTTGGTTGCTTATCAACTCGATCCCAAGTGGCCTGCTGCCACCAAGGCTAAAATGTTGCTTTCTTCGAACACTGCAGTTTCAGTGTCCAGGCAAACCTTTAGTGAGGTTTGTTCTCTCACATTGTTGAATAAATAGCAGTCGTTTGCCCTGCATCCAATTACTTCCCTGAAGCCAGTTTTGTTGGGTTTGTCTTTGCTCCTGCCCAGCTGGAGCAGTGGATCTGAAAAAGTCAAATACGAGGAGCTATTTTCTTAGATAACATAAAAGGAACTACAAAATTTTTCACCCTAGCATGTGTGTATGAGAGAGTGACTCACCCCTGAGAGTTAATTGGGGTTAATTATTACCAGCCTGACTTGTCAAGGCAACAAAACATCTGGTATAACTTGCTTACTCTCAGACAGGGGAGTTGCTTCTGAAGCTCACCATTTTGAAAACATGGTGTGTACCTCTCAACATATGATTATTTAAAATGGGAGGGGACTGTGGGATGCTTGAGTGGAATTAAGCTCACAATTAAGCCCTGGCAAGATGAAGTCACACACTGAGGAGACAAAACGTCCTGTCTCCTCCTCGCCACATGACAAATGGACACATCAGCAGTTAAGAATGGTGATTACCTTTCGCCCCTCTATTTTATCCCTTCCTATTTATATGCCAACCCTTTACCCAGAGCTCCCAACTGCCAAGGAGGCTGGATTTCTCAGTTTTGTTTTAGTTAAGTTGCTCAGGCCTGGTGTGTTTCCAGCACTGCAGGGGAGATTAGAACAAAAGCACGAACACGCAGAAATCCTATGCCTTCTGTCCAGGGATTCTGTGCGCCATCCCTCAGCCTGCACTGAATTTAGGTAGGAGATGTCTACCCTTTATCTACTTATATGGACTCCATCCCTCCTTCCTGAGATGCCCTAGGAGAATTCGTTTCAGTTCACCCTAACCGTTCTTTCTCATCGTTCTTTATAGTAAGGTTTCTTGTTGGGGAATACACACGGAACCGTGCACAGGATATGTAGGATGCAATCTGGCCTGAACAGTTACCTTTAAATTAAGGATAACAACTATTTGAGCCAGGCTTTACATCCTGTATCATATTTAATCCTCACACGATCTCCATTTTAAGAACAAGAAAACAGGTTTGATGATGTAAAGAGATCTGTTACCATTAAATCAAGATAACACGGTTGGTGGACACAATTGGGATTCAAACCCATTGCTGCCTCTAATAAATGACTTCAAATACCAGCATCCTTTGCAATGCCTCATTGCGCAAACGCACACTCTTCCCAAAGGCCCAGCGCCCGGGTTTTTGGCCCCCATTCTTAATCCTAGCGGTTGGATGGGAAACCCAATCAGAAGCCGCCTCTCCCTGCTCCCCGACCAATGGGAAGGCTGTTGCTAACACACGGGTTATATTTTTAGCTCTTCGGTGCTCTGGCACCCTGTAGGTCGGCCGGGTCTCACTGCTCGCGTGGAACACGCTAGGGGAGAGCAAGGGAGGAGTGGGGAGCGATGGGGAGGGGAGGGAGGTGGGGAGGGAGGAAAAAGAAGGGGAGGAGTGGAGTGGGGCAAAGCGGAGCGGGGCGTGTAAGTGACGCTCTGCCCCTCGCTGACGCACGAGGCAAGTAGTCCCTGGAGGTGCCCCAGGGGCTGAAGCGCTCAGTGTGTGGGGGATGGGGGATTTCGGGCTCAGGCTCCCTCGCGCCTCCCTGTCCCCTTGGAGTTTGCCCTCCAGTCCGGCCTTTTTCTGCTGCAGTCAAGGAAAGCGCTTTTAAACCCCCACACCACCGCTGCTCTCTGCCCTTGCAAAAAACAACACACAAAAAAAGATCAAGGAACAAACAAATGCAAACTGTTCGTAGCTGGAAACTTTCGGATTTCGCCACCCCACGTGGGTTCGGCGACTGCGGATGGGCTGGAACCGCCTGGAATGAGAATAAAGGTCGGGGGTTGGGGAGAGAATTGGGGAATGGGCGACTGGGCAAAAGCCTTAACGCGCAAGCTCCAAGGGGCTCCTCGCAACCTGGCAGTCCGGTCCGCCTGTGACCTCACCTGGGCACAGGCCTCCCTACCCTCAACTCCGCGCCCCGCAGTCACAATGTGGCCGAGCGCGCGTAGTCGGCGCGCCCGTCCAGGGCCAGCGAGCCTTGGTCTGCAACCCCATGGACCGTCGGGTGCGTGAGCTTGGGGCCCCTGGCACGGGCAGGCGCCACACCCCGCCGGCGGGGGGCTCTTATATAGAAGAAATGTTGCTCTGTCTAGTCCCCCGTACGGGGGTCGCCAGCCGGGAGAGCAAACGCGGGAATCCGCCGCAGGGCTGAGCCCCGCCCGGGGCTGGCCGGGGGCGCGCTAGTGCGCCTGCGCGGAGCCGGCGCGGGCCTTCTTCGGCTGCGAGGTAATTGGGGGGCCAGAGGCAGCAAGTAGAAGGTTTATGTGGCGCTAGGCTCCTTTTTCCGACCGGCCGGCTGGCCTCGCCTCGCCTCCCCTTCCTCCCGCTCAGCGTGCTCAGACCCCGGTTTCCCATTCGCCCTCCCTTCGGCGTTAGCATCGCCCGCCGAGGCATGGGGCGCTCGGAAGACTCGAGCCAACCCGAGTTAATAAAGGAGCGAAACGTCTCCCAAGCTCGCGCCATCCCCTCAGCTCCCCCTCCCGCCAAGGGACGGTAACTGGGGCGGTGCGAGAGCCGTGGGGTTGGTCGGCCAGTCAAACGCCCAGACCCGAAGGGACTCGCCCACCTGGCCTGGGGGAGCAGGTCCGGCGAAACTAAGAACAGTCGGCGCTGGGGCAGGTGCAGGGCCCAAGCCACGGGAGCTGGGGGCGGGAGCTCCCCTCCCCGCGACATCCATTCATGTCACACATCTAAAGTGAACCACCGGGTTCCAGTCCAGGACCGGGCCCTCCCAGAGCTCGCTGTCTACCTGGGGAAACATTGTACCCGATGAGCACGCTTTCTGTGGTTTGGGGCATGAAGAAAATAAATGGCACGGTGCTGTGATGGGGAGGGGAGGCGAGCATCATTGGACCGGCTAAGGGCGGCCTTGCTGGCGTTTGAGCTGGGAGCTGAGTGAGAAGAGGCCGGCCACGGGAGGGCTGGCGGGAGGAGGTTTCGGGGAGCCTCCGGAGGGCATGTAGAGCCGCCGACCCCGCGTCGCGAAGGGTTAAGCCTCCCGGCCGGCTGGGAAGTAGTCCCGGCCCGGCGCCCGGCCCCGCCCCTGCAGGGCGGAGGGACGCATCACGCAGGGGTGGGGAAGCGGGATCCGTGCGCAGGGTTGCTAAGGGTGAAACTTTTCATTGACTTTGCTCACTTCGGGCCGGGGCGCGGGAAGGTGCGGGTCGTCGCCGGAGAGAAGCGAGTGGCTCGGGCGACGCGGGGCCAGAAGGGCAGGACCGCCCGTTAGCCAGAGCCCGGACCGTTCTCCGCCCTGCGACACGAGCTGCCCTCCGGTCCAACATCCCCGCGCCGTCGCCGCCGGCCGGCCCGCCCGCCCGCCTTCCGTCCCCTCTCCGCCGAGCCTGACCTCCAAAAAGCTGAAAGAATTATTATTGAGAGTCATAGCCCAAAACTCCCTCACTTGTCCCCCAACCCTCAACGAAAAAAAGGACCCATCAACCTCCGGCCCGGCGGCGCCCGGAAAGGAAGGAAGAGCGACCTCCGCCCCGCGCCCAGAACCACCCTGGAGGGAGAAGCCTCCCCGCGACCGGCAGACCGCCCCGCCACCGCGGAGACCCGAGTGAGTGAGCGGGGAGCGTGCGGGCGGCGGGGACCCCTGAGACGCCTCCTCCCACCCCCGTCCCACTCTCGCTCTTCGCTTTGCTGGACGCTGCACGTTGCTATCGTGCCCCCACCCCGAGGACTGGCCAACATTTTCCTTTCCCCTTCCACCTCCCCGATAGAACCCCCCCTCCCCGCCTTTTCCCCCGGTGCTCCTCTCCGCTCCGTGTTCTGAGTGTGGCCCCCTCCCGGGTGGGGTGCATTTCCTCCCCTCTCCGCCCCCCTCAGTTCTTCATATCGTAGAGACTCGCTAGATTTTTCTTTGTACACCCCCCCCCCCGCAAAACATAACTTCCACCACCATTAAATAAATCAGAGGAAGGAAGGGGATCCAGGCCTTGTTTTTCTGCTTCTTTTCCCGTGTGCGGGGAAGGGGGTGGTAATAATTAATAGGGTTTATTTCTGGCCCTGTGGAGCTGAGGGATAGAAGGTAGACATCCCCTTTTGGACCGATCAGTGGTGACTGTCCTCCGGCCGCTGAACCAGAATTTACCGTTTGGCTTTAGTGTTTTAAGGGAAAACTGTGCGGGGCGGGGGGTGAAGTGCGTTTACAGCAATACCAGTGAGTGGATTCTGGTTGATCCCGGTGAGATGCCTGGGAGGAAGAGCCCTACTTCTAAGCTCGTTCCCCTCCTGCCCGGAGGATGGACTGTGCCCTTGACCAGAGAGGGAGGGGGGGAAGGGAGCAGAGAGAGGAGGGGCAGCTGGCAGGCCTTCTCCCACCCCGCAGAGGAACCAGAACCTTACACAGCGGGCTGCAGCTTGGGCCAGCGGAGGGGGTCTCAAGTGCCTTGCTCAGTGTCTAACCTTTCTTTTTCTCCTTCCTATCCATCCTACCTTGGGAGTGAGCCCCTCATCTTTGATTTTCCAGCAGAAAAACACTCCTATTGCTTTCTTGGGCGCCTGCCCCATCCCCCTCTTAAGCAGTGGGGGAAAGAAGCTTGTGTGGGAGGAAGGATTAGGGAGGTTTAACACCGTGCAGGGGAGCTTTGCCGAGGATCTGGTAAGTCTGGTCATAGAGCAGGCCTTGCAATGGGAGGAGACTCACAAAACAATTTCAAGTATTAGAATATGTTGTTCGGGTGTCAGATGCACAGTTTTTCCTTCCCTGCCCGGAACCTTTTCCCATTTCCCTAGCTGGGTCTAGTTACTCGGACTTGGATTAGAAGAGGGGTGAGGCTTGGGCCCTGCTGGCTTCGGGCCTTCTGATTTTCCGCCCGGCCCCTCCCCGCAGCTTAACTGGGAATTTCTTTGGCTGAGAGGAGGGGAGAACTGGGTTTAGTTCCTGCCTTTTCTGGCCGTGGGGGTGCTGGAGCTGAGCCCGCCGGGCATTAAGTGAAAAACGCTTTTTTTCCTCTTTGAATTCACCGTCCCTACAGCAACTCCAGACGGAGACCACCCAGTCCAAGGAATACAGATTAAGCTGCAGGGGCGGGGTGGGGGGGCGGCGGAGGGATGTGTGACCTTTATCTGTCCCAGCCCACCGTGTTCACCCAGAAAAAACTCATTAGAAGGAAATCCTTAATTGAACAGTCAAGGGAACCTGTGAAGAGGAAGGGGCGGCAATTCAGCCTTTCTTGAGACCAAGACGTGAATACGGTAGGGTGGTACAATAAGGAGAGTAGGCCTTATGGGTAAATTTATATAAAATGTATTAAGCGGTGGGCGGGGGGATGGGGGCGTCCACCACAGCGCGCATGTGCATCGGAAACTTTTCCTCGGTTCTCCGAACCTCGGCCAGCTCCCCTTACCGGGCATGCGTAATTCGCTGGCTGAACCTTCGCAAAGCACATAGGGAAGTGTAGTGTGCAGAGAAAGTAGGTCACTTGCTCCAGTCTGAGCGTGAGGCGTCTGAGGACTACAGTTCCCAGAGTGCAGAGCGCGCCTTCACTCCCGGCCTACGTTGGAGTTCAGTGAAGTCTTCCTGGCTTCGCAGGAATCGAGTGCCCCAGAAAGGGCCTTCTTAGTCGGAACAGCTGGGCTTGCACAGTCCATGTTTGAGGGACATGGTGGAGACTCTGGGCGGGGTGCTGTGGTCCCGTCGGCACAAGTCCTGGAAGGGCTGCAAGCATACCCGCCGGCCTGGGTCGCTGCCTCTTGAGACTGGTGGGGTGGGGCCAGGCGGTCCCACGGAACCTGGCTCTCGCTCCCTGGGATTCAGTGTGCGACACCTGCTGGCCTTGTCAAAATTGAGGACCCCCTCCTTCCCGACTCCTCTTTCCAGACTCCTTTGAACCTGATAGTGCTTGGTTGTAGGACCATTTGGTTGTTCAGGCTTGAGGTGCCTGAATATTTTATAGGTACTCCTGGTTTGGGGGCCTGAGGAGTTCCCTCATCATTATCCCTCCTTTTCCCCTTTAAAACATACTGGTTTTCTTCTTAACCTTCTTTCGCTTTTTGTTATAACCTCTTTCTGGAAACTCCATTACCGTATCATTGACTGTAGCAGCCACCTTTCTTACCTCGTTTTTGTCCTTCTCTTAAGCACTCTTTAAAACAGAAGTCAAGGGGCGCCGGGGTGGCTCAGTCCTTAAGCGTCTGCCTTCGGCTCAGGTCATGATCCCAGGGTCCTGGGATCGAGCCCCGCATCGGGCTCCCTGCTCGGCGGGAAGCCTGCTTCTCCCTCTCCCACTCAGCAACTTGCTTGTGTTCCCTCTCTCGCTGTGTCTTTTTCTGTCAAATAAATAAAAATCTTCTTTAAAAAATAAATAAAACACAAGTCAGCACAAGGGATCTGAATCCCACATTAATTTTACTGTTGGGAATAAACAGGTGAAGGAGGATTGAGATTCTAAATGAAACTGGACAGAGTTTACTCTCACATTCGCAACTTTTTAATATATTGACAAAAGGTAGATGTTGCTATTGTTAAACACTTGGTTTTTGAGGCGGGAGGGGAGTTGTTTGGTTGGTTTTGTTTTTGTTTTTACTTTTTGCCACCTTTCTGGCCTTTTGCACCTGAGTCAGAGTTGGAGAAGATCTTAAAGTCCTCTCTTCCCTCTTAACTTGAATCCACTTGTTACTTATATTGAAGAGTAGTTATTACTAAGCTTTCTAATCTTACCACATTCTATGAATGAATATCTATGAATATTTATATATAAGCCTAGAATTTGTCCATAGCCTTAAAAAAAAAAATGAACAGACTCATTGGAGTGGTCACTCCTATCTTTAGTTAAAGACAAGACAGCACCAGTGCTTTAATCCTCTGTTCCATAAGCTTCTTGAAGTCAAAATTAGAGCCTGAGCTGATAGAGCAGAAAATCTCATTCTGGTTGTCCAGCATTTTTGAAAGGTTCCACCCCACAGCCATCTGGCCTGGCCTGTTCTCCAATTAAAGAGGCAAAGATGGCGTTCTATACTTCCTTCCTTGTGTGGCAGCGTCACTGAGGTATAAATTGGTGTGCAGCTTTAGCTGCTTATGCTGCAGAAAATGGTTCGCTAGGCAGGGCTGATGACAGTGGTTCTATTGTACTTCGGGGTGGGAGGCTTATTTCCCAATGACTTTGGCCTGCATTTAAAATGCTCCCATTTTGAAAAGAAAAAAAAGAGAGAGGGAAACAAGCTGTAAGAGACTCTTAACAATAGAGAACAAACTGAGGGTTAATGGAAGGAGGTGGGTCAGGGACAGGCTAGATGGGTGATGGGGATGAAGGAGGGCACTTGTTGTGATGAGCACTGGGGGTTGTATGTCAGTGAAGAACCACTGAATTCTACTCCAGAAACCAATATTGCACTGTATGTTAACTAAGTAAAATTTAATTTAAAAAAAAATAGATAAATAAAAATGCTCCCATTTTGAGGCTGAACACTTCAGGGGAGGTTAACTTGGAAGGCATGTATGCAGCAAAGTTTGAGGAGGCCTAGAAAGGTGTAGGAGCCCTTTGGTGTTGAGTGGTATACCAAGAGGCCACGTGGTGCTTTGGGGAAGTATAATGTCATATTTAAGTCTGTTTTACTTTTCAAAAACACTTTGAAAACACTGTCTTTAATTCCAGGCCCATCGCTGGGAACCAGTGCCAACTTTCTTCATAACTTTTTAATTTCCTCCATGTTGGACACCTCTGGTGGGCTGCTATGGCCCTTACAGACTTCCTCTTGGGGGACGCCTGCAGTCCTGGTGGCTAGCCCTGCAGTCCTTATAAACAGGAAGCCCCCTATCTTTACCATTTTTTTTTCCTCTTTAATCCTTCTGGAATTGATCTGTGCTCATGGCACCTCTGTTGAATCCCCATGTGACCCTCTGCTCAGACCTGAAATGAGGGTGGGACTGGACCTGGCCAGTGTCCTGTGATACTCCAGATTGACCCAGTGCTGCTTCTCTGATATTCACCCGAGAGCTTTGCCCGAGGATCCAGTCCTAAAAATACCCCTAGGAGCCATGGCCCCAGTCCAAAGAATTATAAGGAAGTGAGCTGGGGCAGGTGTTCAAAAAACTCAAGATCCTCAAGCCTAGAATTAGCACCTGAATACTCTATGCTGGACCCAGAAGGGATTTTAATCAAAATCCAGCTCCAGATCTATCACAGGGCAAAAGATGCCCTTGATGGATCATGGATTAGTCTTGTCTCTGCACTGAGCTCAGCAGCACATTCCCACCCAGAGGCCTGGCTGGGAACAAATTCTGGCCCTGCTGACCCTTAAAGGTGGTCCTTCTCAGTTTTCCCACAGCATGACCACCCTGGAGCTGCCCTTTTGGAGATCCAGAGTGAGGAGATGAGAATCACTCGCTCTCAGGACTTTACAGATCTTCTTCTTAAGACATGAGGCTGGCCCAGACCTCAGGAATAAACCTTTTTGACCTCTGTGGGAGCTGGCTGTGAGAGAATCCCAAAATAACAATCTGAGTGTTTATCTTGGGCTGTCTCCTCTCCAGGGATCTCCAGACACTTGATAAGTCTGATCTGGTGCCAAGGACAGGTGGTCAGACGGTCCCCAGGAGACTGAGTGATGATGGGTCCCCAGCTGGAGGCTGCAGGGTGATGGAAAATTTCTTCTCTTTGCCACCCTCATCACCTACCCTCTAGCCAAAAGCTAGAGATTCCCTCTGGCCACACCAGTGCTGCTCTTAAGGACTTTTTGGCCTGTAGGGTCTTGCCTCCGTTTCATTTCCTCTGCTTCCCTGAGACAGCCCCTGGTCAGCAGTCCCTTGTGGGCCCACACCTCTGGGTGTAACAGGTCTTGACTTCTTGGGGACTGTGCTCTTGTCTCCATTCTTGGAGGCTGCCTCAGTGGAAATGCGCCCTTTGGTTACACTGTGTTCTTGAAATATCAGTTCTGCAAACCCAGAGCGAGCCAGAAAGCATGTACACCGACGGGGCCCAGGATGACAAATTGGATGGGACTGGAGTCCAAGCCCCCAGTGAAAAGTTGGCAGTGCTGTTTCCTGTTCGGTGATCTGTATCCCTTTCCATTTAAGGAGAAAAACTAAGGATTTTAAACTTATATCTTGGCCTGTGACTGTTGGGAGTACGACTTCAACAAGACGTTATGGAGATTTGTTACCAAGAGCCTCCCCTTCTCCAGTTGAATTAGGGTCTCAGTTTTTTGTGGGTTTTTTGCTTTTTGCTTTTTTAAAGATTTTATTTATTATTGGACAGAGAGAGAGCTAGAGCAGGAACACAAGCAGGGGGAGTGGGAGAGGGAGAAGCAGGCTTCCTGCCGAGCAGGGAGCCTGATATGGGACTTGATCCCAGGATCCTGGGATCATGACCTGAGCGAAGGCAGACGCTTAACGACTGAGCCACCCAGCTCTCTGTTCTGTTTTGTTTTTTTGATAGCAGTTGTATAGTGACTTGGATTCTCAAAATAGTGGAAACCACAGCACTCCTGTTTCTTTAGAATTACTTGAAAAACCATAGCTCATTTTATCAGGTGCCTTCTAAATAGCAGGTTCAGTGTGAGACAGTTTACATCCTTGAGCTAACTGACTCTGCATGATAGCCTTATGTCACTGATAAAACTGAGGCTCGGAAGAAAGTGGCTTGCCCTCAGCCACACAGTCAAGCTAGTCACTAGTAGAGCAGAAAAGGGGCCCTGAGTCTGAGATCTAAAGTTGGTGCTTTTCTATCCTTTCCGTTGATTCCCCCTGCCCGCCTGCCCCCCCCCCCCCAGCTTTCTGCACATCTACTCATAATACCGTCCGTTGTTCTTGGTTTGCAGAGCTGTCTGGAGCCCAAGGCTGCCTACCTTCCATCACCTGCCACTGCCCTCGGCTTGTATACACGTACCCGGAGCTGATTTGCCGCCTCGGAAAGGACCATGCAGCTGGAGATCAAAGTGGCCCTGAACTTTATCATCTCCTACTTGTACAACAAGCTGCCCCGGCGCCGGGCAGACCTGTTCGGCGAGGAGCTGGAGCGGCTTCTGAAAAAGAAATATGAAGGCCACTGGTACCCTGACAAGCCCCTGAAGGGCTCCGGCTTCCGCTGTGTTCACATCGGGGAGATCGTGGACCCCGTGGTGGAGCTGGCCGCCCGGCGGAGTGGCCTGGCCGTGGAGGATGTGCGGGCCAACGTGCCCGAGGAGCTGAGCGTCTGGATCGACCCGTTCGAAGTGTCCTACCAGATCGGCGAGAAGGGGGCGGTGAAAGTGCTGTACCTGGATGACAGTGAGGGCTGTGTCGCCCCAGAGCTGGACAAGGAGTTCAAGAGCAGTTTCAACCCCGACGCACAGGTCTTCGTGCCCATCGGCAGCCAGGACAGCTCCCTGTCCAGCTCCCCGTCGCCGTCCTTCGGCCAGTCGCCCAGCCCCACCTTCATCCCCCGCTCTGCCCAGCCCATCACCTTCACCACCGCCTCCTTCGCCGCCACCAAGTTTGGCTCCACCAAGATGAAGAAGGGCGGCGGGGCCACGGGCGGCGGGGGCGTGGCGGGCGGCGGGCCCGGGGGCCCCCAGCCTCCGCAGCCCCGCCTGGCCCGCTCTCCCACCAGCAGCCTGCTGAAGCACAAGAGCCTCTCCCTGTCTCTGCACTCACTGAACTTCGTCGCGGCCAGCCCGGCCCCTCAGTCGCAGCTCTCCCCCAACGCCAAGGAGTTCGTGTACAACGGGGGCGGCGCCACCAGCCTCTTCTTTGACGGGGCCGACGGCGGGGGCGCCGGGGCCGCCGCCTCGTGCAATAGCAGCAGCTTCGACGTGGCCCAGGTGTTTGGGGGCGGCACCAACAGCCTCTTCCTGGAGAAGACCCCCTTCGTGGAGGGCCTCAGCTACAACCTGAACGCCATGCCCTACCCCAGCCAGCCCTTCCAGCCCGTCGTGCTGGCCAACTGACCGCCGTCGGGCCGCGGGGCCGGGAGCGCCCAAGACCACAGAAAGGAGAAAGGAAAAGAAAGGCCAAAAAAAGAGGAAAAGAAAAATACACAAAAAGATTTCCAGTCTTCTTACTCTGGCTTCTAGAAAAAAAGATCCAGCCCAGGCATGGAGTGGGAGGGGGCTCCTGAAGCACCGAAACGAGGTTAACTCAACCCCCTGCTGTTTTCCTGCCTGCCTCTGATTTATTTGGTTGGTTTGGGTTTTATATTTTTTTCTTTCTTTTTTTTTTTTTTTTTACATGTAGTTTTCTATATAACATCTTTAATTAGTGGCTTCCTGTGCTAAGAATGGTCCAGATGTGAATTGCTGCTCCCTCCCTCCCTCCCTCCCTCCCTCCTTCACACGCCTGGTTTAGGATTGGT